GTGGCTTCTTCGAAAAAAATTCATGATGAACTTCAATATTTTCCATCACTTCATTTCGTGAATGCAGCACCGCCCTCAAGCTACTGGCTGCCAAGAAGACATCAGAGGTTGGCCCTTGAAGGTTTTTCCCAAAGGCTCTTGGAAAAGATAGAACATTTTTAAGAAAAACAATGGGAACGATGAAATCAAAATCTGATACAGCACTACAGAGTACAAAAGCTCAACCAGCTCTACAGTTATTCCATCTACTATTTGTATCATTCTTTATACCCTCTCCACATAAAACAAGTGCTTGTAGGCGGTCCACTAAACTTTCAAAGGCATCGTGCCTGCCTCTCCACTGAGAATGGCAGATTTCCTTCAGTTCTTTACCCTTTGGCTCATTGTTCTGCAAGAGGAGAGAAATTACATTGTCAAGCTCCAAAAGCAAGTGTGGAGATCGATGGAAGAGAGAACAAACTTCCTCAATTGTTCCTAAAGACTCAGATACTCCCACAACAGGCACTGATTTTGCCAAGCACATATCGAAGGCACAGGAAGAGCAAAGTGTGCCGACAGCTTGGGGATATTTCTCTCAAAGTCTGGAAGCAACGACTTTCATTTTGGAAGACAATCCCCTGGACACAATGTAAGCCTGGCCACGACCATACTCCATGTTTAACCCCCACTCCCTAGTTCTCGTAGTGTGAAATTTTACAGCCAAAATTTCTGCCTCCGCTTCCTAAGGCAAGAAGCCCACAATTGCCTCTCTCAGGTTATGAGATTCATCCACAAACCTCACCAACACAGGCAAGGGTCCTTCCCCCGCTATGTCCACTACGTCATCAGGGATGATGGAAAAGAAGCGGGAGGCTCTCCCTTCCCTGAGGGTCTCCTCCCGAATGAATGCAGCTCTCACAGATGTGTAGCATCTGTTTCTGCTGTGTTTTCGAGCAGAACCCGCTGTTAACTGCTGTCCACTCAAAGCACTTTCCCAGAACCTCTTCGCCAGAATTTATCCGGCACTCCAGCAGTGCTTGGAATTTATTGGGGGTCAAGAGACCCTCCGGGATTTCATCAGGTTCATGCCCATCCACAGGAAAGTTTTGTTTTCCCATAAGAATCAAAATGTCAAATAAAGGTTCTAAGGATTCTTTGTGTTCTTAAAAAAAATAAATAAATAAAAATAAATAAATAAATAAATAAATAAATATGCCCATGCAAGTTCATTTTTTATGGAAGTTTTATTTAACCCTAAGCCATTATTTCCTAAGTTACGTTTTGGGTGGGGGAAAGGGGGTCTATGAATGAATAAATTTGGCAAATTCTTGTTAAACAGGTTTCTTCACTATAGAACTCTCAGAGGTTTGAATATGATAATATCTATTATGTGCATGTAAAATGAGAGTAATTTTCTGAATTTATTAGTCCAGTGTATACTTTTTTAGTAAGTATGGGACATAATGCAATTTTTTTTAAGATTTTATTTATTTGACAGAGGGATTGAGCTGTCAAAAGCAGGGGGAGTGAGAGGGAGAAGCACACTCCCTGCCCAGCGGGGAGCCTGACGTGAGGCTCTATCCCAGGACCCTGAGATCATGACCCGAGCCAAAGGCAGCCACTTAACCGACTGAGCCACCCAGGCGCCCCGGGACATAATACAATTTGAGAAATATTGCTTGAATATTCTCTGAAGGTTGAAAGTGCAAGGAACCATGGTATAATTTTTTTTTAAAGATTTTATTTATTTTTTTTTTAAATAATTTTATTTATTTATTTGAGAGAGAGAGAATAAGAGATAGCACAAGAGGGAAGAGGGTCAGAGGGAGAAGCAGACTCCCTGCTGAGCAGGGATCCCGATGCGGGACTCGATCCCGGGACTCCAGGATCATGACCTGAGCCGAAGGCAGTCGCTTAACCAACTGAGCCACCCAGGCGCCCGGAACCATGGTATAATTTGACATCTTGAAATTCTTTTCAGGAATTCACTATATATCTCTGTCATTTTAGCTTATTAATGAGCCTTTCATTTACATTTTACTTGGGGATTGTGGGGGGAGAATTTTCTGTCGTACTGATGGACAAATGTGTTGCTGTGTAAGTTAGCATAATATACTGAAAATCATTTGGCTTTTGGAGGCCCAGTTATGCAGTTTAGTAAATGCAACTTTGGACCTCTTAGGGCTTCATTTTCTCATTTGTAGGATGGAAATTAATTAGTCCTACCTTACTAGGATGATGGTGGGTGGGTGGATGTGTGTGTTGGGGGGGTTGTGTATAGTATTTCTCCCTGCTCCTTACCCCTACCCCAACGTGCTGAGCTAGAAGTTAAAATTCAGAATAGAGTTTTATGAGTGGCTTGTGTATAATCTAACTTTTGTTAGATTGTGTATGCTGTTTTTTCATATAACCCTAAAATCTCATAGCTTTCAAAAGTGAGATTGATTTCACACTCATTACAAGTTGTAGTTGTAGTTCAGGTTGCAGTTGACTCCACCTGTCTTTTTTCATCTGCAGTTCAGGCTCTGAAGGATGTCATCCATCTGGAACATGCCGTTATTTATGAGAAGGGACAAAGATCAGAGCACTTATGGGAAACCGTGCCTCTTAAAGCTTCTAAGACATGGCACATGTTACATTTATTCATATTTCATTGACCAAAGCAAATTGCCTGGTCAATCCTGATGTTAATAGGGTGGAGAGGTAACCACATTATATTACTGCTCATAAAGGTCATGTTGACATTTTCTTATAGTTCCTATAGCATGAATGAGTTGCAAATCACATGGAAATGGGCACTGTTACATAATCATCTCCTATGGTGGGGAGGTGAATAGGAATAAACAAAAATAAGCATGGACGCAAACCATTTATTTATAACCTTACATCTATGAAAAAAGTAGTTACATTCTAAAGAAATCACTTTCACATACTTTATGGGACATGTGTGTCTGGACATGGGCACTCAAACATATATCAGTATACATAGATTAACAAATAATTTTCAGTTTTCAAATGAGAGTATTAAATTTCACTTATTTTTATTATAGGTATATTAAAGCAAGTGAAAGATTACATTAAACAGTGTAGCAAATGCCAGGAGAAACTGGATCGCTCCCGTCCAATATCAGATACTTCAGAAATGCTGGAAGAATTGGGATTAGACCTTGAATCTGGTGAAGAAAGTAATGAATCAGAAGATGATCTGAGCAATTTTACTTCACCTCCAGCTACAGCCTCCAAGCCTGCAAAAAAGAAACCAGTATCCAAACATGAACTTGTATTCGTAAGTGGAACTTTCCATTCACCTTTAACATCTATAACTAATGTATTAGTATGTGTAGTCTTGGTGAATTTTTTTCTTAAAGTACTGAGATTGCTTGACTGTTGGCACTGAGATTGGAAATTGTGTGTCAGGTAATGCACTCTGTTGTTACATACGCTAAAAGTATGCTAATACTGCTTTTTCATTAATCATAAATATTCCTGTTGTTTCTTCTCTTCAGAATGTTACCTGGTTTGTTGTTAATCATTCTTGCTATCTTTTTAAATGGTATATTGGTACAGGTAATCAGAATACATTTCTGGAAGCAGTCTCTAGGTCGAGAAACAAGGTAAAATCAAACTGGCTAGGCCTTTGTTTTTTACCTCCAATACTTTCATACATCATCATATTTCTTACTGGCAAGAAGAGGCAGCAAGAAGTGAGATGCAGGTTTTCATTTGGTCAAGTAGAATGAACATAGCAGAAAATAGTGAGAATGACCTAGTTTTTAGTTAAATATATAGATATGATATCTGGCTATTTCTTCATATTAATTAATGATGTCTTTAAAAGTGAATGTGTCATGTTTTAAATTCTGTTAAAGGTACAAATACAAATGATATATAATACAACTCTTGGTCTTAAACTTATTTTGATAGGTTGACACCAAAGGAGTGGTGAAACGTTCTTCTCCAAAACATTGTCAGGCTGTCTTAAAACAGCTCAACGAACAGAGACTATCCAACCAGTTCTGTGATGTTACTTTGTTAATTGAGGGAGAAGAGTACAAAGCTCATAAATCTGTTTTATCAGCTAATAGTGAATATTTTCGAGATCTTTTTATTGAGAAAGGAGCTGTTTCCAGTCATGAGGCGGTGGTGGATCTTTCTGGTAAGAATTTTCTAATATTCTTCCTTTTTGTTTATAAGTACCTATTGGAAGAAGGGCGTGTGTGTGTGTGTCAGAAACTGAGGATTTATGCTGCAGTGGGAGAAGCCCACTTATAGTAGTAGACTAAGTTGAATTGAAAAAGTCCTTCCTTTTAGCAAAGTTTCCAAGGTACGGTTATGGAAAAGGCTGTCATTTTCTATAACTACCTCTTAGGTGAGACAAATGTAGCAGTAGAAAAATCTCTGAGATTTACACGGCTAAAAACAGTTTGAGAGAAATCTATAACTGTATCAGTGTTATATTACACTAAGTGAATATGTTATTTAAAACATAATAACATAGGGCGCCTGGGTGGCTCAGTTGGTTGAGCGACTGCCTTCAGCTCAGGTCATGATCCTGGAGTCCCGGGATAGAGTCCCACATCGGGCTTCCTACTCAGCAGGGAGTCTGCTTCTCCCTCTGACCCTCTTCCCTCTCGTGCTTTCTATCTCTCATTCTCTCTCTCTCTCAAATAAATAAATAAAATCTTTAAAAAAAATAAAAAAGATAAATAAAACATAACTTATTATGACTTAAAAAAAATTGACTTCCTGCATCTTATGTTGTGGAACATGTAATAATAGAGCACTTTTGTAGGTCTGTTGTTTTTCATTTTTAAAAATTATTAGAATTCATTAGTTTGAGTAAGCAAACTTAATATACAATAATCAAAATTCTAGGTGTGGCTTTTTTTCTTTGGTTTTATTATTGTAAATTAATAATTTGACTTTCTTTTGGCTCAGTAGAACTTATATATTGGCTTAGGAGTCAACAAATGAAAATTTAGGAAGAATTAAAATAGGTAACCTTATTTATAAATTTTTTCATAATATTAACTTACTGTAACTCTTGATTACTGAATTACTGACATTACTGTGTGAAATATCATTTCCCTTTTCTGAAACAAAAAAGTGACTTCATCCAGGTATATAAATACTTACTTAGTTAACCATTGATCCTTTTCTACCTTATACTTTTTTTTTATATTTAAAGTAGACTTCACACCCAATATGGAGCTCAAACTCATGACTCTAAGATAAAGGGTTGCATGCTTTACTGACTGAGCCAGCCAGGCACCCCTACCTTATACTTTTTAAAATCACTTCTTCTGGGAAGACACACACATATTTTTTTCTTTGCAGTAGCTATGTTTAATTATTTAAAAATATTTATTAAGCATCCGCTGTGTGTGAGGAACTAGCCTGGGCTTTGGGGTTACAATGGTGAGCAAAAATTTTCATGGAGCATAGAATTGCATTATATTTTAGATTAATAATATTCACTTTTTTCTGGGTTTGATGACTCAGGAGAAAATATGTCTTATACTGAGCCATCTGAATAATAAAACTCATCACAGATGTAGTCTTTTGATTTTAAGTTAATTTTGGAATTTTTTTCCTATCTTTTATGCATCTGAAGCATAAAGAGAGGTATATGAGTGTTCTTTTTCAGTGTCTCAGCAGCTTAGCAAATGAAGTGTCTGTCCCAAATTAACTGCAATACAGCATCCTAATATTCCAATAAAATACCTCTTTTATTTTTCATCCTATATGCTTATTTTTATATTTTGTGCAGCAAGTATAATCTGAGTCGATAGGCAAAGTAGATAGTTTTTATTTGGTTTAAATATTAGGTAAAGTATAAAATATATGTGTAGTATAAAAAGATAAAATGTACATCTTTTTTAACTATCTAGTTAATGTAGTTGAATTAATCTGTTTTCCTTCATTTGTTTATGCTTGTAAAAAGTTTTTCTGTACTAAGTCATAAAGACATGTTCATGGATTGCCTTTTTAAATTTTCATAGTTTTTCTTTCATATTTAAGTTTTAATCTGTTTGGAATTTATTTTTGTTGGTGTGAAATAGGTGTTTGATTTCATTTTCTTCTCATTTTGATCATCACTTGTCTCAGAACCCTTTAGTGAAGACCCCATCCTCTTCTTGTCAGTTGACCATACAAATTCTCTTAACAAAACAAAGTTCCACGTTTTTGGTACCGATTCTAGGCTTTGTTCTAGTCTATTGGTTGTTACCTTACCTTTATAATAATGAGGAAAGTCTCCCACATTTATTATTCAGGTGGGTCTTAGTTTCATAACCCTTTGCTCCATAAAAACTAAAAGTAGCTTGTCAACTTAAAAACACACACAAAATAGTGTATTTTGAAAGAGATTACATTGAATTAATAGTTTTAGAGATTTATCCATAACAATCTCAAACACATTTTGTAGGATTACTCTAAGATACTTTATATGTTTTGAAACTATTATATTTTTTCCTTAAAATTATGTAATTTTTTATTTCTTTTGGGTGTATATTTTATATACAGTAATATTGCTAAATTCCCTTAGTCATTCAGTCATTTATCTATGGATTCTTTGAAATTTTCCATATAAAAGAAATAGATTATCTGCTAATAGTGTTGGTTTTGTTCCTACCTTTCTAGTCCTTGTATTTTGAAATTTTTTTTCTTTAAAGCGCTGTCCAAGACCTCAAAAAAAAAAACAGTTGAATAAAAAATGGTGATGGGGGTTCACTTATCTCATTCCCATTTCTAAAGAAAGTGCTTTTTTACCATGAAGTATATCATTTGGTAAATGTTTTAAATAGATAACCCTTTACCCTTTTTAACATTAAGGATATTCCCTCTAAAATGAATGCTGCTTTGTAACTCTCTGAGGATGTTTCCAGGTGTAATCTGTACAGGGGGCCAGTACTTACGAGGATTGTCTTGGGTGGCTGCAAGATGAGTAGATCTCTGTGCCAGAATCTTAAAAGTTTATATAGAAGCCTTAATTATGTTTAGTCGTGTACTCAGGAGGCCTTAAGTGGGTTCAGTCGTGTACCTAGGTTTTTATCTCAAGGATGTATTTTTGGGGCAGCTTCTGGACAGAAAAGGCAAGTGAAACACATATTCTAGGAACAGGGGAGGGGTGGGGGGGCTCCACTTTTCTGGGTCCATATCAAGGGTCAACTGGAAGGCAAGTCTTCTTGATGACCTCCTCCTGCAGTGATGACTTATCACATATTTTTTCTGTATTTATTGAAACCCTGTATTTTTACCATTCTGTTAATGTGGGAAATTACATGATTTTCTGGTAAGCCATTTTTTCGTTCTTGAAATAAATCCAGTTCAGTCATATTATTATCAGCTTTTGTATAAATTGCTGTTTGGTTTGCAAATATTGTCTAGAACATTTGCATGTATATTCATGAGTAATTTTTCTTTTTTCTTTTTCACAGTTTCATTTTTTTTTAAAGATTTTATTTATTTGAGAGAGAGAATGCCTGCTTCTCCCTCTCCCACTCCCCCTGCTTGTGTTCCCTCTCTCGCTATGTCTCTCTCTGTCACATAAATAAATAAAATCTTTAAAAAAAATTTTTTTTTAAATCTTTGCTGATTTGACTCATGCTGTTTGTTTCCACTAGCTTTTGTTCATGGTGCCTTGTTTGTGATTTTTTTTTTTAATTTGTACACAATGAATTCATATTCTTTAGAACTTTGTGGGAAATCTTTTGAGTTCTTGGTTGAAGGTGTTTTCCACAGAGAAAACACTTGATTCTTAAGTGTTGAGGGCATTAGCAGTCTGGGACTGCTTTAAATTCTGAGCCTGAGGATTTTTTGACTACCAAAGTGCTATATATTCAACAAAAAATCCCACCAAATTAAGGTTGGTTTGTGGTCATGACTAATCAGGAAAGATTTCTTACCTCTTTCACCCAGTGCTGGGGTACCAAGTATATTTAAAATAATACTTTAAAGTATTTCTCTCTCTCTCTCCTCTCTTTTTAAGTAAGTAGGTAAAATTAGGCAATCTTAGTTAGCCATATTGCTGGATGTGGAAGTCTCTGTCACAATTTTTCTTTCTGTTGATTCGTAACCCTCCCATGAACTTCCCTGGTATAACCTGAAATTGGCCCCTGTACCAAAGAAACAGGCAAGGCCATTCCACGGTGGTAGGTGGCAGTTTTAACAAGCAAAGGGCTTGTCTTGGGCGGCAGCAAGATGAGTAGATCTCCACACCTGCCCACCAAACTTAAAAGTTTAGAAAGAGGCCTTAACTGGGTGCAGTCACATCAGTGTAGGTGTTTTCAGTGTCACATCACTGTCTCACGGTTATGTCCTTAGAGCAGCCTCAGGGAGCAGGAAAGGCAAATGGCACCCACATTCCAAAGACGGGGCAGGGGATGAGGAGCCTTTGAGTGCCCCAGAGTCCAGTTCACAGGTCAGCTGGAGATCACATCTTTTTGATGATGTTCCCTAACACTACCTGTAACCAACTGTTTTGCCCATTTTTTTCTTTTTTTAGTTTTAATTTTGGTAAACACACATTATAAAATTTATCCTCTGAATGACTTTTAAGTATTAACCATGTTCACATTGTTGTGTAATGGATCTCTGGAACTTTTTTATCTTGCAAAATTGTCCATTTTGATTAAGATATTTTGCAGAGTCTGTATATGTGTATGTAAAAAGGCTAGGGGTAAAAACAAAATACCAAAATTATCTGCCTCTTACCTCTTGGCAGAATTATGAATGATTTTTTTAACTTTTGCATGTTTTGTATTTTACAGTAAACATATATGACTGTGCCTTTGAAAAAAATTGTTTTAGATATTTAAAGTGTTACTTGGAACAGTGTTAATTCTTTCGTGGGAAATTTTTTCTTAGGACTTCAAACTTAGAAATAAAAAGGTGCTAGGTAGGGGCACCTGGGTGGCTCAGATGGTTGAGCGTCTGCCTTCGGCTCGGGTCATGATCCCTGGAGTCCTGGGATCAGGCCCCACATCGGGCTCCCTGCTCCTTGGGGAGCCTGCTTCTTCCTCTGCCTCTCTCTCTGTGTCTCTCATGAATGAATAAACAAAATCTTAAAAAATAAATAAATAAAATAAATAAAAAGGTGCTAGGTAGAAGACCAAAATACATTATTCTGTTTGTGTTTTTTGAAAGAAATACTTAGCTCAAGCTTATTTAACTTGATCTTGTAATTTGTAGCAGAAGTAACATGGCTTTAGCCTATTTAATTACCAACTTTCCTAGGATGACTGAATTAGCCATGATGATGATGTTAATGTGTAGTGCCCTCAGTTTTCAACGGACTGTTAATATACCTCACAGTTTAAGGCTTCCCTTCTTTGTCCATCATTTATCTGCTTATATGAAAGGACTGCATTTTATGTACCTTGAGTCAAAACTGAAAAATAGAGCAAATGTGAGTTTTTAAAAAGTTGCTTTCGCTCTTTATTTCAGTAAAAGATCTCTAAGATAAATTATGATACCAGAAAAGCAAGGCATAGGACAGTGTATGTAATATGCTACCTACTGTAAGAAGGGGGACTAAGATTATTTGCTTTACTGTATAAAGAAGTTCTGAAAGCTGTACAGATTCTTAATCGTACTGGTTGTGGGGATAGAGTTGGACTTAACACTGTTTTATTTTCTGATTTTTGAATCATGAATATTAATGGCTTTTGAAAGTGAAGTATTAAGAACTTACAGATAAACTGCTTTTATTTTCTCACATAAAATAAGAATGTAATACCTCCTGTGTATAGTAATTATTTTCTTCCTTAGACCAGGAATAGGCAAACTGTAGCCCAAAGGGGCAATCCTCCCTTCTCTCGCATTTTGTAAATAAAGTGATAATGGAACACAGCCATGCTCATTTGTGTATGTATTATCTTTGGCCCCTCTTTTCAGCTACAGTGGCAGAGTTGAGTAGTTAAAACAGACACCTTATGGCCTGCAGTAATTATTATCTGATTCTTTACAGAAAAATTTTGCTGACCCCCTGTGTTAGATCTTGTTCTTAAATTTTCAGTAGTACAGCCCTTTGTTCACAATCATATTTTTATATGGACTTCTTTTATTAAAATATACAGTTATACTTACAGAAGTGAGGTTAGGGGACAGGTTGGTTGAACCCTGCCTACTCACCTGCCTCCCTCTCTTTTTTTACCCTCCATTCTCCAGCAGCTGTTTCTTGAGGGGAATTTGAGGAACCCCCGGGGTTCTAAGGAGTACAGTTTGAAAATGACTGCCTTACAACAACTCTTTGAGGTAGTAAGTCTGATATTATTTTCTATTTTAGGTATTGAGAGACTCGGCTCATAGAAGTGAGTTAGTCAAGGCTTATTAAGCAACCAGAACACAAAACAAGTCCAGAGTGTTTAATTGCAGAATAAATGGTCATATTTGCCTTTTTGCCTTTGTATTTTATTTTATATTGTCATAATCATGTATTAATTGTTTTTCTAAGGTGTTTTAGTAGTTATTTAACTTTTTTGTACCCCCTCCCTTTTTTTTTTTTTTTGTTCCATGTAGGTTTTTGTAAGGCAAGCTTCCTTCCTTTATTGGAATTTGCCTATACTTCTGTGCTAAGTTTTGACTTCTGTAGCATGGCTGATGTAGCCATCTTGGCTCGCCATCTTTTCATGTCGGAAGTTTTAGAAATCTGTGAAAGTGTACATAAACTAATGGAAGAAAAGCAGTTAACAGTGTATAAGAAGGGTGAGGTCCAAACAGTTGCATCTACCCAGGACTTACCAGAACAGAATGGAGGTACCGCACCTCCTGTGGCTAGCAGCGAGGGAACCACAACATTATCTACTGAACTTGGGGATTGTGAAATTGTACTGTTGGTGAATGGAGAATTGCCCGAAGCTGAGCAGAATGGAGAGCAAGGACAACACCCTGAACCCCAGGTTTCTTCAGAGGCTCAAGCCACTCTGTCACCTGCAGGCAGTGTAACTGGTTCCCATCCTGAAATGGAGTCTGTGGATTTAATAACAAAAAATGATGAGACAGAACTAGAAACTTTAAACAGCAGAGAAGATAGCACGGTTTCTAATATTCATCCCAAACTTTCAAAAGAGAATGTAATCAGTAGCTCTCCAGAAAACAGTGGTATGGGAAATGACACATCAACTGAAGATATCTGTGCTGAAGACATTCCAGAGCAAATGCAGAACCTTGGCCAGTCTTTAAAAGATCAGGAAAATCTAGTTGCACTGACAGCAAAGACAGACCTTGGCCCTGATGATGAAACTTACAGAAGCAGGCTTCGGCAGCGTTCTGTTAATGAAGGGGGGTATATCCGACTGCACAAAGGAATGGAGAAAAAGCTGCAAAAACGGAAGGCCATTCCCAAGTCAGCAGTTCAGCAGGTATGATGAAGAGGTGACCTTTGTGGTGTTAGCTTTAAGTCAAAAGCATTCTGTTCATAAACTTAATATACCTATCATGAAAACTACTTTGAGAGGAAGGGCAGTAGGTGCAGGAAAGCAACTTAATGTTTTAAATACCAATATTAATAAGATAATATTAATTTGAAATAACATGATTCATGACTTTAAAAATTAAAATGAGTTGGGATGCATGGGTGGCTCAGTTGGTTAAGCATCTGCCTTCGGCTCAGGTCTTGGTCCTGGGGTCCTGGGATCGAGTCCTGCATCAGGCTCCCTGCTCAGTGGGGAGTATGCTTCTCCCTCTCCCTCTGCCCCTCTCCCCTGCTTGTGCTCTCTCGCTTGCACTCTCTCTCTCTCTCAAGTAAATCTTTTTTTAAAAAAATTTAAAATATTTACTTAGATTGTGTTTTCTGTCCCTTAATTAGGTAGCCCAGAAATTAGTTCAAAGAGGGAAAAAGATGAAACAGCCAAAAAGGGATACTAAAGAGAATACTGAAGAAGCAGCATCCCATAAATGTGGGGAATGTGGAATGGTTTTTCAGAGACGATATGCCCTTATAATGCACACACTGAAACATGAAAGAGCTAGAGATTACAAATGTCCGGTAAGTAATTGGAAAGCTAATTGAAGATGGCTCTAACTTCATGATAAACAGAATCCAGTTTACTGTTTCATTGTTATTCTGCTTGTATTCTCTCAGTGTTTCTCTGTCTCCCTTATTTTGCTATGTAAGAGTCATCTTCTGTTTTGCCTGTGTCATTTCTTAGCTCCCCCTCCCCCAAAAAACCCCACAAAAAACAGTGATCTATCTTTGCTTCTTCCTGCTAGTACCCTAGTAAGACAAGACTGAAATTATCATTTAAAAGCTCAGGGGCACCTGTTAGTCTCAGTTGGTAGAGCATGTGACTCTTGAGGGTCGTGAGTTTGAGCCCCACATTGAGGGTAGAGATTACTTAAAAATAAATAAACTTTAAAAATTGAAAAATATAGGGCGCCTGGGTGGCTCAGTCGTTAAGCGTCTGCCTTCAGCTCGGGTCATGATCCCAGGGTCCTGGGATCGAGTCCCACATCGGGCTCCCTGCTCGGCAGGAAGCCTGCTTCTCCCTCTCCCACTGCCCCTGCTTGTGTTCCCTCTCTCGCTGTGTCTCTCTCTGTCAAATAAATAAAATCTTTAAAAAAAAAAATAAAAATAAAAATTGAAAAATATAAGCTCATAGAAGGGTAAAGAGAATGGGGAGGAAACCTTAGCAACTACATTCTGGCCCCTGATAAATAGAGGGAATAACTGATTTAGCAGATTTGAAAGGGCTCATTCCCAGGCTTTCAGTGGAGAAAGGTAAGAATCTGTCCACATTGTATTGCAGAAGTACCAAATGCCTCAGGAATTAGTGTTACTTGCTACTTTGAAAGGAGTCTCTTTAGAAAGTTTTTAAGAAGCAGTTAAATCACCACCACCTTCTCTTCTACTTTCTGAAAGCAATAAAACCATGACTGCTCTGGGGAACACTGTGTACAGTGAGGGTGAATGTACTATACCCAAAAAAAGGGAAAATAAAACCTTTCATACTGAATGTTGAAACCTTTCAAGTTCTCTTTACCTACTCAAGTCCCAGAATATTAGCAGCCAGATCCTTAACTCAAAAGCAGAAAGGTTTCTCAGAGATGAGAAATCCGAAGCCCAGTAACAAAGGACTTGGAGACAGTGCTGACAAAAGCCTGTGGTTGACAGTTTCCCCTGCACCCACCCCACTTATACAGAAACGCCAGTCAGTTTTGTAACATACTGAAATATGTGTAGATGTCAGGGATGATCAGACTCAGGATAAATATTTCAAGAAAAAAGCAACTTTGAGGATCCACAGATATAAAAATCTCAGAAAAATTGGGAAATAGACTAAATGTCTCAGAAAATAATGCAAAAGACAAGGTAGAAAATGAGAGTAAAGAAATTTAGAGAATTGGTATAGGATGTCTAATATCCAAATAACACCAAGGGGAACATGAGGAGAAGGAAATCATTTGTGGAATAAAGAAAAATACCAGAACTTAATTTTCCTTGTGAAAAAGGACACGTTGAAAGCCTACAACCACATCATCCATAAGTAAATGTATATCAAGATAAATTATGAAATCTTTAAATCAAGGGACAGGGCGCCTGGGTGGCTCAGATGGTTAAGCATCTGCCTTTGGCTCAGGTCATGATCCCAGGAGGGTCCTGGGATCGAGTCCCGCTTCGGACTCCCTGCTCCTTGGGAGCCTGCTTCTCCCTCTGCTTCTCTCTCTCTCTCCCTCTCTTTCTGTCCCTCTGTCTCTAATGAATAAATAAATAAAATCTTTAAAAATAAATAAATAAATCAAGGGACAAAGAAAAAAATCTTATGAATAACGATAGAGAAAAAAGATAGACTCATAGAAAGGATAAAGGTCAGAATGGCTTCAGGCTTTTCAGCAGCAACAGTGGAAACTGGAAGAGAAGGAAAGACACAAGGTCTTTAAAATTCTAAAGGGAAGTGATTTCCACCTTAAAATCTGTAGCCAAACTATCAGTTATTTGTGATGGTAGAATAAGAACATTTTTAGACATGTAAGGTCTAAAAGTTTTACCTCCCAAACTCCCTTTCTTGGGAAGCTTATTGGCAGAGGTGTTCCACTAAAATGAGCAAGACCTGGGAAACACGGGGTCCAATTCTACAGAGTCCAAGCATAGGAAACAACCAGTCCAGGTTGGAACAGGACAAAATTCTTTGACAGAGATCTCTTTAAGGTGATGTCTTTCAGTCTCCTCTCAGTAGACAATTGAAGGAAGGGTTTGGTATTGAATTAGCACTAAGTATAAAGAGAAATAAAACAGAAAAAGGAAGGAAAGGGAATCATAGTGTACTATATGACCCAGCTGTAATAACAACTACATCACTGGAAAAATGTGAACACAGAAATTGGTCAAAACTGGGACTGAGCTATATTGAGAAAGTAAGGTAACACGAAGGGTCTGCATATGTGGAGGGAGCGGAGGGGTGAAGGAAGAGAATCCTCATCCATTATTCATGTTACTTAGAGTTACCAAGATAAGCATCATGAGAGAGTAAAAAAAAAGTGGCAGAAGTAGTAGACCAAAAGAAGAATTTTAAGGACCATCACAGTTTTATCTCTCTAACTTTCTCTAACCCCTAGTTTTGCTCCACCTAACAACTCTTAGTAGTCATATGATGATAGCATTCTTCTGTATCTGTGTCCTACCGTTCCTTCTAGACAGACCTAGTCTCCGTGTTGATGCCTTTCTTCATTGCTTTGATGACTCCCTCTGTGGTTAGATTATCAACCTCTCCAGAGTAGGGGCTGGGTCTTGACCCGTGTCATCCTCATAATCTGATACCTAGCATATTGTCTCTTATATAATGTATGTGTTTATTGATTTATATAATTGTAACGAAATGGGAAATTGAAATAGTCAAGTTTCATTTAACATTTGTTATGGAATTACATTTAGACAGAACTTTATTTACTTTTTTGTAGTTGTGTAAAAAACAGTTTCAGTACAGTGCCTCCTTGCGCGCACATCTTATCCGACACACCAGGAAAGACGCACCCACTTCATCCTCTTCCAGTTCTGCGGCCAATGAGACGTCGGGAACATCGTCTGAGAAGGGGAGAACCAAACGAGAATTTATATGTTCCATATGTGGAAGGACATTACCTAAATTATACTCTCTCCGAATACACATGTTAAAGCATACAGGTGTAAAGCCACATGCGTGCCAGGTAAAGCCGTGAAGTTTATTTTATTATATAAAGAAGGTTTGTACTTAACTACTGATGAAACTGGTTGATTCTGGAGTCACCCTCACTCCTATAAAATGTCACAGAGAATTCTAGGACTTTCAGTTTGTTGCCTGGATTAAAGGGTGATTCTCAATTGTGTTCTTTCATTTGGTATTTAATTTGTTGTAATTTGAAATGAATCTGTTAGGCTGTTCATGAAACTTACTAGGATTCAGAGGATGTACTGGGTGAGAATAACCAGTTCATTATCCCGTTCATCCCTCTAACCTTCAGCAGGACCAGTCTGGACTGGAAAGGAACCCATGGTTTAAACAAATCTCCTTAGCAAAAATACTGCCTACGCTGTGTGTTTTCTAGAGCTGAGGACTGAGACTATCTAAATGCCGAAATAAAACTTCTAGGTAAAGAATCCTGTGATGAGCCAGATTAGGGCTATTTGGAACAGTGAAAATTTTCTAGTAGCCCCTGTAGCCTTGCATATAAGCATGACCCATTTTTTTCACCAATGAGATTTTTAATGATTTTTTTTTTTTTTGCTTTTTATTATGAGAGAATAGAATAGAACCTCATGTACCCTTTATCCAGCGTCATTAGTTATCAGCACATGGTCAGCTGTGTTTTATATATACTGTCACTCACTGTCCTACTCCCCCGTCCCCTCATTTCTTTTGAAGCCAAGTCCTAAGCATCATTTTATTCTTAAATTTTAAAGATAAGTATTAATTGGGCCTCTCGTCTTTTCATGTAGCACTACTCAAAATGTGTATGGTCCATGGAAGATAAGTACAGAAATTGAGAGTATACATTTCGAAACTGTCATGGCAGTTGACATTGTTGTGACATTGTTAATCATATTTAACAAAAAATGGATTGGGGAAATAAAAAAGAAAAAACGAAACCCTGGTTCTTCATTAGAGTTTGAGAAGCACTGTTCTAGTTGGTGTAGCAAGAAATTAGTATATTTTCTTGTGATTAAGCTCTCATGTCTCTTTTAATATAGAAGGTACACGTCTCACAAGGACAGTGTGAGGGTCTGCTGTACTGCCTTGAGCTCCTTCAGTGATCACCTGGATCTAAGAAAAGTAGTAGTATTTGTTAAGTACTGAGTCAGAAGATGACCAGCCAGCTAACATCCTTGACACTTGTTTCAACTTTCAGTTTGTCATTTTGTTTATAGATATTTTTCTCTAAAATGGCATACACTTTTTCTGTCCTCGTTCTTCAGAAACAGCCCTGATTTCTCTTTTCTGTTTTACCTGTTTAAACACCTGTGCTGTCACAGGTCTGTGGAAAGACTTTCATCTATAAGCATGGCCTAAAATTACACCAGAGTCTCCATCAATCACAAAAGCAGTTCCAGTGTGAACTATGTGTTAAGTCATTTGTTACCAAACGGAGTCTTCAAGAACATATGAGTATTCACACAGGTAATGAGAAATTTGTATTGACAAAGTTACACATTATATACTCTTAAGTTACTGTTATATTGATTATGCTATAATTATTTTAGAAATTATATTGATACACTGTGTGCAGTTTTTTATTAATGAAAGTAAGGCTAAAAAGTGTTCTTAAATCTAATTTTAGAGCTATCTTATTGGTGTAAAAATCATCATTGTTTACCTCAGTGTAGAAAAAAATGTACTGAGTATTAAATTATGCAATATTTAGATCCAGGCACTTAAAGAAATGGTCATGCTTTTAAAAAGTTAATGGTGGCGCCTGGGTGGCTCATTCGTTAAGCATCTGCCTTTGGCTTAGGTCATGATCCTAGGGTCCTGGGATTGAGTCCCGCATTGGGCTCCCTGCTCCGCGGGAAGCCTGCTTCTCCCTCTCCTTCTGCCTGCTTGTGCTCTCTCTCTATCTGTCTGTCAAATAAATAAATAAAATCTTAAAAAACAAAACGGGGTGCCTGGGTGGCTCAGTCGTTAAGTGTCTGCCTTTGGCTCAGGACCCTGGGATCGTGTTCCACATCGGGCTCCCTGCTCCGTGGGAAGCCTGCTTCTCCCTCTCCCACTCCCCCTGCTTGTGTCCCTCTCTCACTGTGTCTCTCTCTGTCAAATAAATAAATAATCTTAAAAAAAAAAAGTTAATGGGGCCCCTGGGTAGTCCATTTGGTTAAGTGTCTGCCTTCAGCTCAGGTCATGATCCCAGTGTCCTGGGATCCAGTCCCACATCAGGCTCCCTGCTTAGTGAGGACCTTGCTTCTCCCTTTCCACCACCCCACCTTATTCTCTCTCAAATAAATAAAAAATCTTAAAAAAATTAATAGATGTAACTGTCAACATGGGGTAGGGCTTATAATTTTATTAGAATTTTTAGTCTGTAGGTAATTATTTTCCAATGCTTAAAGCAGTTATGTGGAAATGGCTGGTGAAGGGTAGATGGCAGCTCTAGAACTTGTATTCAACTCTGTACTATTACAATCCAGATGATTATGCAAGCGCAGGACGTTCTTTGGGTAGTGGTAATCTTGCTAGTACTGTAGTTGAGAGGAAATAGAGATTTTTGACCTGGTTTGTTGTTGTTCTGAGAGGGTGACTGCCAAATGTAATAGCTTCTGTGTCCCCTTGATAAAATAGCTTCTGAAGTAGGACATGAAGTATTCTTTTGGAAGAGCACCTAATTGTTGGATTTATGATGTGTTTTTTATTTTTTATAGGTGAGTCCAAGTACCTTTGCTCAGTTTGTGGAAAGTCTTTTCACAGGGGCTCTGGACTAAGCAAGCATCTAAAGAAACACCAGCCAAAGCCTGAAGTTCGAGGCTATCACTGTACTCAGTAAGTATTTAATACATAAACTGTTCAATTTTGTGTTCTTAGTAGGTTTATTTGCAAGTTGTTTTCAAAAGAAAATATTTGAGGTAACTCTAGTCAATAACACTATTATATAAATGAAATTAGCTAAGGGAGTAGAACTTACACCTATATATATCTGATGTGATGGACATGTGAATTAACTCGATGGGAAGAATCCTTTCACAATGGATACATATATCAAACCATTATGATGTACATTTTAAATATCTTAAAATTTTGTCAGTTACACCTCAATAAAGCTAAAAAAAAAAAAAAACCAAAGGAAATGTTTGAAGATAATATTGAATTGGTATTTTTTCTTGATTTTAATCACTTTTTTTTTGCCTAGATATTGCTATTTATGATTTTTTAGTTTTATTTAGATATTACATAACACATAACTCACTCACTTGAAATACTAAAGACATTCTTCAAATGTATTACCTGGGGGTGGAGACTGTAGGAAGGAAGGGTCCCCAGTACAAGCCAGAGATTTTTTTTCTAGGCAGTTCGTCTAAGGTGCTGGGTTGTCTGCTAGTTTTTCCTCTCTTCAGACTCTTTTTCTTTTCTTCCTCTCTTCTTTTTCCAAAGCCTCCTGAAATTTCTCTTTTATAATTGAGATAAAACTCACTTAACGTAAAATTCATCATTTTAAAGTGTACAGTTCACTGACTTTTAGTACATTTAGTACATTGTGCAATTAGACATCACCACTACCCAATTTCAGAATGCCTTCACACTCAGTCAGGCTGTTACAACTTTATCTTGGCCTTCTCTTCCTGTTTGTGCAGAGTCGGCTAGAGATGAGAGCTTAGGGCCTTCTCAGGTCTTTTCTAAATGTATATTGCCCTGGGCAAGTACGTGGACTTCTCAGTTCCTGGGAGTATGTGAGAGTTTTTCAAAGCCCCTAATCCACCACCATTTCATTCCCCAGCCTTTTCTCCCAAGCTCTTGGTTTGTATATTGTTTGAACCAAACTACCATTCCTTGCCCCATGAGGCGGAGGTGAATACATTTGCCTTTAAATGTTTTCAACAGACTTCTCCTTTCCCCCCAATCCTCAGCCCTAATAGAGTTGGGCAAACTAAATGCAGACTCTTTGAGGGGATCCTTCAAGGAGCCACCAGGTGGGTTGAAAGAGACAACCACAGTTCTTTGAGAATAAGTCCCTCGGGCACTGGGAACCCATGGTGGGAATGCAGTCTTCACGGCTGCTGCTGAGCTGAGAAGCAGGGAATAGGACCAAGGTAAGTTCAAATGCTGCAAAGCTCTCTTACCAACATTTAATGATTTTTAAAATTATTATATGTTTGCCTGTTCACTGTACACTTTTAATCAGTTTCCAGACTTCGAGTGAAATTGATTCTCATAGTTTAGGCCAGTTTGTCTGGAGCAATGGGCTTGTGGGTTTCCTGACTGCCATATTTGCTGATGTCACTTTAATCAGTCTTATTATTAAAACAAAGATATTATCATTAGATTTTTAGTTGCAAGTAAAAGAAAACCCAACCTCAACTGGCTTGAATGAAAGGTAAAATCTAGGAGTCTGAATGATTTAACATAAACTAGATTCACATTCATTAGCACTTGGTGTCTCCAAGGCTCTCTAGACAAGGCAGTAGCAATGGTTTCAGCCTCGCATCCTCTCAACTCCCAAATCATCAAGCTGCTTTTCTGGTAATTCCTGTATAGGATCTGAGATCTGAGATCGGATCTGGTTAAGTCATTTGATTATGATCAGTAATTACAGCCAAGGGAACGCTGTACTCTGATTGACTTAGACCTGTGGCAGTTGCTCCATCCTGTGGTCAACAGTGAGGCCTACTCCAAGCATATGGACAGAGAAAGGGAGAGGGTGAAAGGGGGCATCAGATGGGGCTTAGGGGGAGACAGAAAACCAATGTCTCACATAATAGCCTTTCAGAGCTCTGCATGGTTCTTTCTAAAATGTTTCTAGTACTAGAAACAAAACAAACAAGCAAAGGGAAAAAAGAGAGAGGGAGGCAAACCAAGAAACAGACTCTGAACTATAGAGAACAAACTGATGGTTCCCAGAGGGGAGGTGGGTGGGGGGATGGGGTAAATAGGGGATGGGGATTGAGGAGGGCACTTGTGGTGAGCACCGGGTGTTGTATGGAAGTGTTGAATCACTATATTGTACACCTGAAATTGTATGTTAACTAACTGGAATTTAAATAAAAACTTAAAATGTTTCCAGTACTCCAGAGCTAAAAGAACTTAAAACCCTGAAGCCCTATTGCAAGATTGGAATAGTAGCAAATTCTTGTGTTTTTTTAATTTATAAATAAATTATGTATTTATTTAAAGATTTTATTTATTTGACAGAGCAAGCACAAGCAGGGGGAGTGGCAGAGGGAGAGGGAGAAGCAGGCTCCCCAGCGAGCAGGGAACCTGATGTGGGACTTGATCCCAGGACCCTGGGATCATGACCTGAGCCGAAGGCAGACACTTAACCAACTGAGCCACCCAGGTGGCTAAATTCTTTTGTTTTAAATTGGGATCATTTTTTAGAGTTCCAGAAAGCCATGAGTATTACTGAGTCTTGGAAATTTGTTTTAAAAGAATAATAAAGTGATCTGATTGAGTGGTTAAACTTTATTATTGCAGATGTGAAAAAAGTTTCTTTGAAGCTAGAGATCTTCGTCAGCACATGAACAAACATCTTGGTGTGAAGCCATTCCAGTGCCAGTTTTGTGATAAGTGCTATAGTTGGAAGAAAGATTGGTATTCCCATGTGAAATCTCATTCTGTCACTGAGCCTTACAGGTAGATAAATTTGAGCGGGATCTGAACTTAATGGAGATGTATATGTGCTTGGATTAATTCTTTTGGATGCTGGTGCTTTGGAAAAAATAATTTAGGGTTTTTTTGTACCCCCGTTATAGGTGTAATATATGTGGCAAAGAATTTTATGAGAAAGCATTGTTCAGAAGGCATGTAAAGAAAGCTACCCATGGAAAAAAAGGAAGAGCAAAGCAGAACCTAGAACGGGTGTGTGAACAATGTGGAAGAAAATTCACTCAGTTAAGAGAGTATAGGAGACACATGAACAACCATGAAGGTAACGGTACCTAATATTATGCATATATTTAAGTAGAATAAAAAGTCAGTCCAATAATGAGTCTCCCTTTACCAGCCCTCTTGCCTGTTAACCTCATCTTCCTTTGATAAGAGTTGAATCCCATATTACTTAATATTTATTCAAATGATTGAGGTGATCCTGAACCTGGGTACCAAGTTATTGTGTATGTAGATAGGTTCGTTTTTTAGTGAGCTTAATATTCTGGGTCAACATTTTTATGCTGAACTGGACTATTGGAAGCTTCTGTTACTTTATCCTAAGATTATAGGATTGCAGGGAAGGTTAAATGAGACTATGTATGGAAACTCAAAATTGTCTCTCAGTAACTTCTATCTCTGGGAACACCTGTAGAGAGATTATATTGCAGAATCTAGTTTATTCTAAGGTACACCATTAGGTCCTGGATAAAAGATGGCCATAGTCCGTATAGAAAGGGTAATGGGTTACTGTACTTATTATTATTTTTTTTAATATTTATTTACTTGTCAGAGAGAGGGCATGAGCAGGGAGAAGGAACAGAGGTAGAGGGAGAAGCAGGCTCCCCGCCGAGCAGGGAGCCCGATGTGGGACTCGATCCCAGGACCCTGGGATCATGACCCGAGCTGAAGGCAGATACTCAACCGACTGAGCCACCCAGGCGTCCCTGGGTTACTCTCCTTAAAGAAAAGCATTATTTATCAGGGAACTTATTTTGTTACTTGTACCTTACACACACACCTCTCTCTCTCTGTGTCTCTTTCTTTTTTCATAGGAGTTAAGCCATTTGAATGCTTAACCTGTGGAGTAGCTTGGGCTGATGCCCGATCTCTAAAACGCCATGTCAGAACACATACTGGCGAGCGGCCCTATGTCTGCCCTGTATGTAGCGAAGCCTACATAGATGCTCGAACACTGCGTAAACATATGACTAAATTCCACAGAGATTATGTGCCTTGCAAAATTATGCTGGAAAAAGATACCCTTCAGTTTCATAACCAAGGAACTCAAGTGGAGCATGCTGTTAGTATCTTAACAGCAGACATGCAGGAACAAGAAAGCAGTGGTCCTCAAGAACTGGAGACGGTGGTGGTGACGGGAGAGACCATGGAAGCGCTTGAAGCTGTTGCGGCTACGGAAGAGTGTCCATCAGTATCTACGCTCTCTGACCAAAGCATTATGCAAGTGGTTAATTACGTGTTGGCACAACAGCAAGGACAGAAGCTCTCGGAAGTGGCAGAAGCTATTCAAACTGTAGAAGTAGAGGTGGCACACATTTCAGAAGCAGAGTGACTATAGCAGTGGGGATCAAAGAAGTGACATCCCATGTATACTGAACTCACAGAACATCTGTTTACAGGACGACGTGACTATCTGCCTAGTGTTTATAGGTCAAGGCTCTGGGCTGTTCGGTGATGTTTGAACATTTCCGAATGGTTTTCTGGCTAATGGGTTCTATTGAAAAGTCCGTATATGGCAAAGAAATTGAAAACAAATCTACTTGATGGCATTGGTTTATCATGGTGTACTTTTTATGAATTAATGTTTATAAAGGACTGGACTAAATTAAAAACTGTATAGTTTCACTTGCATTTTGACATTATTATATACTTTGAGTTTAAAAGGCTGCACTAGTCAGATCTTCTCTTTTATTCTAAAAATAGGTTCTGTGATTTCATTTGCCCTGTTTATAGGTTTAAAAAAATTCTAATATAAAGCATTTTAGTAGGATGTATACGTGTATTACATTTTTAAAATGCTTCAAATCTGTGATTCTTGACTTACTATTTATTTTAACCCCTTATAAGTCAGGGATTTATTCTATTTTAAAGCACTTAATGAGTTACATGTTGTAATCAAGTTTGCACAGTATACTTATCTATATGGGGAACCCTTAAATAAATAGCTGATTTTTTAAATGCCATTAAAATGCATGAAATGCCTATTAAAGCCTTACTATATACTATCTCTTCAAGGCAAGTAAATTGACCATGAGCAAAGAACACTGTTGTTAAACACTGTTGATGGGAAATTTCTCCTTGATAACATGAGACAATGAATGAAAAAAAATCTCATTCTTTTGCTGAAGAATGAACAAATTAAAACTAGATTTGGTATGTTTGCAGCTTTTGTATCATGTTTAATTGTTCAATTTTGTTGAAAAACTGCAATTTAGAAATAGGATAGCAATATAGACCTCTACAGCGGTCCTGTGGATACCATGTAATTGTCAAGTAACTTCAGAATATTGGAAAGTCTTCAATTCAGCCCTCAGTATACTATTTAAAGAAGTTAATTGATTATGGTCCACCAAATTGTTGAAAGTAAATTATTTTTAAAAGTTACCTGAGAATTATATTAATTTGTGTGTTTGATTTTTAAATTCCCACTTCTAGAAGCTATCCAGTTTTCTGATCTTCAAAATAACTGTGGGGAGATGCCACATTTCTCTCCTGTGGGGAAACTACCACTCAAACTATAATTGTTAAAATTAAACTTTTTAAGTATTAGAAGCTAATATAAGGTATAAAATGAAGATATAAGCAAATCACATGTAAATCATTCCTAAAGCACAAGAAAAGAATGTGCCTTGATGTACATATATTATTAAGATGCTTATTCCAGTTTACTTTAAAAAATGGCTTAAAAGATAAAGACTAAATGTGATGCCATGCATGCATTATCTGCATATGTAATATTTGCATTTGCAAATTTCCCATTGTTTCTATAGCTGTGTGGCTGACTTTCAATTTTAAGTGAATTGACATACAGTCTATAACTTTATAATGGCTGCTTGTTTATCGTACTTTTCATTTAGTGAAAATGTATTTCAACCTGACTAAAATCTGGAATTGTGTCTTTTTATGTTCCATCTTCACCGTTGTTATTAGATTTAGTTAATTGTATAAGACCATTAATGTATGTCAAAAATTGTAAATAAAAGATGTTGAATCTTGTTTAAAAGCATAAGCTTTGGAGTTTAGCTTGTCACTTTTCTATTCATAAATCAGTTGCTGTTATTTGATATGTTATTAAAGTCAATCCATGTTTAAAGGGAAGGGAATAGAATACATTAAAATACAATGAATCATGGAACACTACATCAAAAACTAAGGATGTATGGTGATTAATATAACATAATAACCATTGGGTGAAAATGTAATAATATTAAAACTTCTTACTCATAATTTTGCCACAAAATTGGAAGTAGTGTGATTTACTGCCTACTTGGGTAATTTTTTTTTTTTTTAAAGATTTTATTTATTTGACAGAAAGAGACAGCAAGAAAGGGAACACAAGCAGGGGGGGTGGGAAAGGGAGAAGCAGGCTTCCTGCGAAGCAGGGAGCCCGATGCGGGGCTTGATCCCAGGACCCTGAGATCATGACCTGAGCTAAAGGCAGTCGCTTAACCAATTGAGCCACCCAGGTGTCCCTACTTTGGGTAATTTAAATGTGTAGAGTTATAGGGTGCCTGTCTGGCTCAGTTGGTAGAGCATGTGACTCTTGGTCTTAAGGTCATGAGTTCAAGCCCCATGTTTGGCATGACTTTTTAAAAAATGTGTAGAATTACATAATTCCATGTAGAAACAAGTGTTAAGTTTCCAAAAATTCAGTTTTATATTGCCATGGGGGAAATTTCTATATTTAATTTACAATTCCTTTTTAGAATCACGCATTGCTTTCTTGTCAGGTGACTCTCCTCTAATTGTGTGGGTACCCCTGGTTAAATGTACTTATTACTCTTGCTGCTAAGCAGTTTGAGTCATTGCTGTTAGTCATTGAAATGTATGAATTGATAGCAATGAATTAATTCTCTGACGTGGGTTTTAATTTGTTTTATTAAAAGTGGCTGTATTCAGAATTTCACAGGGTTGCCTAAACCGCTGGACTTTGAGCTAATCCAAACCTTCAGTGTTTTGTCCTTTTTTTAATGCATTGGTGTAAACTATCTGTGCATGCATAATGTTTCCTGCTCGTGATTGTTCTTGTCAAACCTGTAATCTCTTGGAAGTTCCTAAACACTTTTACATCTAATGTTTGGAACATACATAATAAAAGCCTTTGCTTCCTCTTGATCCTATATATTGATCAATTTGTAGAAGCTTATGGAGCAAAGATGCATAAGTAACTTAATCAGTTTAAATATACCATGCTTATAGCCTATTGATCTTGAAGTTTAAATACTGCTGTTTATTGAACTTTTCCTCGAGTCTTAAGGATTTTGGAGTACGAACTCATCTCCAATAGGGCCTTATCTTTCGGAAGCCTGTGCCACCCACGTAAGTTGAGGTTTTGTGTTTGCCTCTGCTAGGTTGCTCCAAGAGTGTTCATGGTTAGGTACTATTTTTATATTAATTCTCAGACTATGGTTTCCCAGAGCAGCACCTGTAAATTTTGAGCTTCAGACCAGTTTGAGAGCAAGCTTGCTATTCTAAATCTTCAAGGGAGGCTTTCGCCCACTGACAGCCCAGCCTGGGACGGACAAGTATCCTTATCTGCCTGGACTGGTGAACTGAGTTGTTTTCTTGACTGTTCTTTCACTGAAGATGGAGCTCTTCAGTGGTCCCAGTGTTTTGTTTCTCTCCCTGCCCGGCTTGGGGCTTGAACTCAAGACCCTGAGATCAAGAGTCCATGCTGAGTCACGTGCTCTACCAACTGAGCCAGCCAGGCGCTCCGGTGGTCCCTGAGTCGTGTTTAATTTTTTTTTCCAATTTCTGTAGGCCTAAATCCCGATCTCATTGCCTTTTAGCTGTCAAAAGCCCCCCCTCTGAAACCCAATCCCATCTACCACAAGGTTACTACAAGTTCAACTCCATTTCCTCTTATCTGGGGACTCTAGGACATTGCCTTTCTTCCAAACTTAGTATTGTGAATTTCAAAGGAGTTTGTTACATTTTATCAAGTGGAGAGTTTCATGTATTTTGAGTTTAACTCTGGAAACTAAATAGTGTTTCTTTTTGTTTCCAAAAGTTTTATTTCTACCCTCAATACCTCTTCATCTTTTTCTTTTTCTTTTTTTTTTTTTTAAGATTTTATTTATGTGTTTGACAGAGAGAGCAACAGCGAGAGCAGGAACAGGGGGAGAGGGAGAAGCAGGGGAAGTGGGAGAGGGAGAAGCAGGCTTTCTGCCGAGCAGGGAGCCCAATGCAGGGCTCGATCCCAGGACCCTGGGATCACGACCCAAGCCGAAGGCAGACACCTAACGACAGCCACCCATGTGCCCCTCCCCATCTTTTTCTTGCTTCCCGATAACCTTCTTGGAGTTCCTTAACCTGATCTGTAACTGTTCTTATCTATTCTTCATTTTAAAAATTATATTTTTTATCTTAGTATTTCCAATTGGTTCTTTATAGGTGCTTATTCCTGCTTCCCTTTTCAATTCATCCTTTCTTATCTTGCTGGTTGAATGTATTCTGTTCATTTTAAACTCTTACTGTGTCCGGTCTGTGTGCTCTGCAAAAAAATTATGTGTATATACCACAACTTCACCATTCTACCTTTGATGGATATTTGGGTTATTTTCAGTTTGGGGTTATCCTGAGGAATGTTGTAGGACCATTTTTATCCTCTTGGTATATACATGGGCATGCATTTCTGTTGGATACATAACTTAGAGTAGAATTTGAGATATTTGGATTTGTGAACCAAAATATTTCCCAGAGGTTATACCAATTTACTCTCACCAGTGGTGGTTGCTCTGCATGCTCTTATTACCTACTTTAGCCATTCTGAGATGAATGTGCTTAGTATCCCATGTAGTTTTAATTTACACTTCCCAGATGACTAATAAAGCTGAACACCTTTTCATTTGTTGACAATTCAGATATTCTTTTTGTGAGGCAATTGAATATCGTACCCATTTTTTGTCTTTTTTCTTTCTGAAAACAAGCTGTTTTACAATTGCCATCTCCTATTTTACAGCTTGTCTTTTCATTCTATTAAGGGTATCTTTTCATGAATGTATTTAATTTTAATGTAGTCCAGTTAATAAATTTGTGCCCTTTTACAATCTTTCCCTGCCCAAAGATCATTATATTTCCCTATTTTATCTTTTAAAAGCTTTATACCTTTGTCTTTTATATTTAGATCTATATCTATCTGAAATGGAGACATCAAGCTTTTTTTTTTTAAGATTTTATTTATTTGACAGCGAGCACAAGCAGGGGGAGAGAGAGAAACAGACCCCGCTGAGCAGAGAGCCCAACGCAGACTTGATCCCAGGACCCTGGGATTATGACCTGAGCCAAAGGCAGACACTTAACTGACTGAGCTACTCAGGTTCCCCTCAAGCTTTTTTTATAGTATAGATTTCCAATTGGGCACATAATTTTCTGAATACACTGATTTTTTTTCCATTGTTCAGCAATGCCATTGTATAAATCAAGGGTACCTGCATATGTAGATTTCTTTCTGGAATCTATTCTGCTTTTTTGCTTTTATTTCTGTACTCTTGCACCAATTCCTTGCAATACCAAATTGCAACAATACTAAATCCTTACAGTACTTAGGACCACAATGTCTTAATACTGTAGGTTTATAATAATTCTGATATCTGATAGAGTAAATCCTCCCATTTTTTTTTTTAAAGATTTTGTTTCTTTATTCGTGAGAGACAGAGAGAGAGAGAGAGAGAGCGAGGCAGAGGGAGAAGCAGGCTCCCAAGGAGCAGGGAGCCTGATGCGGGACTCGATTCCAGGACCCTGGGATCATGACCTGAGCCGAAGGCAGACGCTTAACCATCTGAGCCACCCAGGCGCCCATCCCACTTTGTTCTTATTTCAGATTGCTTGTATATTCTATAATGAACTTACCAATTTCTATAATAAAATCCTGTTGGGATTTTGGCTGGAATTGTATTGAACTTCTAGATCAATTTGGAGAGAATTGATATTTTTCTAATAACTAAATTTTCATTCCATGAACATATTTCTTCACTTATGTAAGTCATCTTTAATATCTCTCAAAATGTTTTAGTTTGTGTAAACCTATTAGATATATCTTTATGCAACTGTGAATGGCACTTTATTTTTCAGTTTGTTGGTATATAAAAATACAAAACACTTCTGTATATCAAGGGAACTTTCATCTGATAAAAGCTGTCTACAAAAAGCTACAGCAAAACATTCTAAAAGGTGAAATGTTTAAAATTTTCTGACATAGGAAATAAGACCTTTTATCCAACAACCTTTTAAAATTCCCTTATTAATTTAGTTTTGACTGTCTCCATACCCAATTATGTTATTTGGAAATAAGTTTTATTTCTCCTATTCCAATTCTAGCTTGCCTTATTGCTTTCTATAGGACCTCCAGTACAATGTTAAGCAGGTGTGATAGTTGGCATCCTTGTCTTTTTTTCCATCTCAGAATAAAAATCTGAAATTAACATGGTGAGGCAGATAGCTTAAGAATGGGGGCTTATTGCCAGAAAA